GGCCATTTTTTTCTCATTTCATCCTTAAATTCTACTCTTTCCATTTATCTTGTTTCTTTTATATTTTCTTCTTTTAAAATTTTTAGTCTTTTCTTTGATCCTACTCCTATATTCATTCTTACTTTGTCCTTGTCTTTTTTTCTTGTACCTTCTTTCACTAATTTTATATTTGAGTCCCTGATTATTTCTTCAAACTTGAGCGGTTTTAATGCTTTTAATTTTAGCTTTTCTATTTTACACTCTTCTTCCACTATGTAATTAAGGGTGTTACTATCTTATTCTAGTATCCACTTCAGGTATCTTCTTTGCACACTTTCTAGCCTCTCATCTTCTTCCCACCTCCATATCTGTGCTCCAAATAGTGCTGCACTTTCCACTTTAATATTATTTTCTTCTTTTCAATATACTTTTTGAATTTTTTTAACATTTCCTTTAATTCCACTTCCCTGTCAGCTATTAGCACAATGTCATCTGCCAAGTATACGTTGAACAGAGTTGGGCTCAAGGGCCCTATCTTACTCCTTTTTCAGTCCAAAATTTTTCTGGTATTCCTTCTTCTGCTTTGAATCACATTCCTTGTTTCTTTATAAATATTCATGATTCTATTTCTTAATTTTTCACTTACCTCCATCTCTACTAGTCTTTCTCCTAGTACATCCCTATCCACCCAATCGAAAGCTTCTTTGAGATCTATAAAGCAAGCAAAAACCTTTTTTTTGGTTTGCTTAATCTTTCTTCTACTACATAATTTAGCGTGTAAATTGCTTCTAATACTCCTCTCCCTTCCCTAAATCCGAACTGACTCTCTGGTATTGTAATTTTTTGTAATTTTTCCTTTGCTTTTCTCCTCTTTGGATTCATCCAGTATCAATTTCTGAATTTCCCTTTCTTTTCCAGTCAGATCATTTTCAATATATGTCTCCTTCTCCAGCTTCCTCTTGTTTACCATAACGCTATCCTTCATTTTCTTGTTTTCTAGTTCTACTTTCACTATTTTCCTCTCTTCTCTTCCATAATTAATAACTATTTCTTGAACTTTCTCTACTTTAACCTTGACATTTATTTTCTGTGCAATATATTCTTCCACTTTCTTTTCTAAATTAACTTTTTTTAATAGATGTCCCTTAAATCACAATATTCTTTCTTCTTTTCTTTTTTTCACCTTTTTCTTTTTTTCATTCAAGTCTACTGACTCTCTTCTGGAGATTTTCTCTGTTCTGCCCATTTTTGTTTATCTTTATCTCACTTGGTTCTCCCTTCTCTTCATTATTTTTCTCTTTTTTCTAATGTAACTAACACTTTGAGTATGCTTTCTAATGGCTCTTTCGTTTTGCCCATCCTGCAATCATTCTGATTACCTTTGCTATCTTTCTGAAAATTTAGGATAGTCTGAGCGTTACTCCTCGTGTTTTCATTTATTACCGCCTTTGTTATTACTTAAGGTATTTTCTGCCCCATTGGTGATACATAAATCTTCTTCATCGACACTTCTGTTGATAAAGCAGGTTCTATTCACCGGTCCCCTGTAATTCAGGTATCTTCCTTACTAATTGTCTACAACAACGAGACCTACCGTAACAGCTATCCAGATTTCTGAGGTTATCCCATTTATTACACGTTCGTCTCTATTTTTTGTTTCTTACACTCATGTATCTTTTTATTTTATTCACTGTTGTCCACATAGAGGTCTCCCTTATCCACCGTACAGCTTCTTTTTCTACCTATCTTCCAGACGTGATCTCTTTTCTTCTTTCGCTTCTTCTTAAACTCACTTTTTTACTTTTCCACCTGGTCACTGTTTCCTCGATTTTTCTTACTGTCACAGTCACTTTTTCACTTTTTTACGTCTTTTACTTTTTGCTTCTCACTTATTTGCAGTTCTTCAAAGGCAAGTGATCTTTTTTTTTTACTGCCTTGCTGCACACGTTTTCACACACTTCTGTTCTATCTTTCGATTACTAATCTCACTTTATCCATTTACTTTACATTAACTTCAATACTTCTCATCACATTCAATTTTCCACTTACACTATTCTTACTTACTCTCTACAACTCTATAAACTTTTATTTTATTACTTAACACTTACTTATTCTTTATTATTCACTTATCCTAGCCCCTCTAGCACGGACACTTCCTTTCTCCTACGCGTACGAAACGGAAATCCTGTAGTTTTGTTACTGCAGTGGCTTTAATGATAGCTATTGAGCTTCGAGATGGGGTGCCTGCAGTTGGGGCGAGCTCTGATCTTGCAGGACCTGGTAATTTAAATGGTAATTAGTCGCTCTCATCTACTTGAATGGCCCTTTCTTCTTCGGGAATAAAAGGAGCTTGTTTGCAAGCTTTATCGTTCTTAATTATGTCAACCAAATCGTCCATGAACAAGAGCGTGAATGATTTCGAGTCCGCCAGGGTTTCCTGACGTCCTTCTGAGCAGTGTAAGCAAAGGCTGCAGCATGGGCCTTCATATGATTATGGAAAAGGTCTGTAGGAACTCCAGCACAATATTATTGATGCTAGAGCTCTTAAAGTCCGTCTGTTTGTCGTAAGTATTGTTCCTAAAAATTTTCTGTTCGGCTTCTTAAGACCTTTCTTTAAATAATATAGCCATCTCTTGTAAATGTCAACCTGTAATTTTATTTCCATAGTCTCAGTAATTTCTGGGTCGATACCCGGCAACTTCAGAAAAAGTGGGTCCAGAGGCAGCTCTTTGGTTGGAGGCCCTTTAGCTTTAGCAGTCTCACCTAAAAGTGTTGACTGTTCATGAAGTGATGGCGCACGTATGTGGTTGGTTTAGCTAGCATATGCAGCCCGACTTTGGCGCCAAATATTGAAACGAACTAAGTCTTCGACACCAATAGCAAGGAAAGGTTAAAGCGCCAAGCAATAATGCAATAAGGTAACGCAACGTGGGTCGAAGTGGTCATAAAATATCTTACATGTAAGGCAGCGTTATGCTAAAATACAAAAGACACAAGAAAGAACTAATAATATAGTATACCTTGCTACTGGTCGTCCGCCGTCATACTGTGTTCTGAACTCGACGACTTATTAAGGCTATACTCCGGATCTGAGAGCAGCTGGTTGTCTGAAGACGATGATTCCTGGTCTTAGTGTTTCGATGACAAGTTTGTTGCACAAATCCGCTTCCAATTCCGCCGTGATCGCGTCTTGTTTGGGCGTGTTTTCTCTAAAGCATTACTTTTACGGAAAAAAAAGGAAGAATGACGAATCAGCAGAAAAACAGCGGCAGTGTGCATGGTGAGAAGAGAGCATGCACGCACTGGAGACTTTTTATTTCTCTCTTAACTATCGTGACATTATACAGGGGAAAAGTGGGGATAAAATATGCAATCTTGAGGATAAGGCATTCGTCGTAAAAGTTCATTTTTGTTTGTAAGGCAATGTCAGTGTGGATAAATATTCTAGGGGTTTCAGGAACACGTTCAAAAGAAAATTTGGAATCAGTACTTATCTGACAGTATTTTTTCAGCATATTTATTAAACTGTTTCATCTTTTTATCCTTGCAGGAAATCATGAATACTTTAAATTTTAAATTATGAATATGTTTCTTCGCTTGATATTTTTTTTTATCTATGAAATTATAAATCATTAAATAATGAAATCAATACTTTTCATAACAAGTAACTCTACGATAACTTGAGAAGTTTTCTTAAGGTCTATAAAAGTAAACTAACACGTTTCTATTGAATGGTCACAGAAGAGTGCTGACCTCAAGTCCAGATGAAACGACTGGAAGACTTTTTTTTTATTTACCAAAATACTTTTGCTATAGAAAAAATAATTTTATACAATTATCCAACCTTTTTTTTATTTTCTAAAGAAAAAAAAGAAAAAAATTGTACATAGCCGGGAATGGAACACATAATACGGCGTAAAAATAAAATACTTTTTAAAAGATCGCTCAGCCACCGTCAGAATCAAAAGTGGAAAAGCAGTTTTCCTATTTCAGTTTTGAAAAGTGTGTAGGACTGACCTTAAATCAGATGAGTTAATTCTCTCACTAATATTGTTCGTCCTCTCAGTTCTCTTAGTCCTCATTACGCTTTAAAGGGTCTTAAAAGTGATTAACTGATTGTAAATTATCATTATATCATTAGCAATGTTTTGGCAGCTGAAGCGCTGTCCTAATCAAGCTTTGTTTAAAAATATCGTAAATATAATTGAAATAAAAAGGAATTTCGTCAAATATTTTATACAAAGAAAGTGGAGGCATGTTTACTTTTCACAATAATACTGTACGTAAAGTGAAAAACAGAGGTCACTATTAATACAAAATTACCTTATGATGCAAAAAATTGGCCAAAAATGAAGAATGAGACTTTTTCACTCATGCGAGTGTAGGCTGCAATGGTGAAAAGTTTGATGCTAGTAGAAAATTTCAGAGCGTAATTCAATTCTAACTTTACCAATGTTTAAGCCATGAACTAATCTCACTGTATTCGGAAATACCGCTGAGTGGTTTATAGCTTTACAGATGGTGGCGCTTGAATTGAAAGCTTTGCCGGGATGCACTCTAAACTTCACTACTAGCATAAAACTTTTACTATCGCGGTCAACACTGCTTACGCAGAAGGCTCATACTAGACGTCACTGACAAGCCTGCATCTGGGAATACTTTATATATAACGTAAATGTATACCCCAGAATCGTTAATTGTTTTTTGAACATGCCATAAGTAAATAAATAAATAAATAAATAAACGTCAATGACTTGCAATTATGTATGACAAAGAAGCTGATTTCAAAAATCTTTATCATAACTCCTGTCATGCTAAGAAGTATTAACAACCCCTAAGCGTACACCTGCGAATATGGATTCGTTTCAAACAGCGAGTCAGTTATTAAGTAATGGCTAATCACAATTTATGTGATGTAATTGACGTCGTTTATCTGACACGTTCGGAACGAACCCATTTCTAAGGGTGTACACGATCCGTACATAAAAATTTATTAATAATTAAATGTTATTTGTTTACAGAGCATGAAGATGAAGAAACACGAGGAATTAGAGACTCCGACATTTACCACGAGCATCCCCATCGAAGTCAACGATGAATAAAAAACACACCTTCGAACATTAGGTCTACTCGCTTAAAACACACACATGCAGACACATGTATATGAAGGCTTATTTTTTATGCTTGAGTCCGATGTTAACTATAGAAAAAATGTCTACCTATACTTAAGAGCTTTTTTCGTATACTTCGAAATAGTATATTACGCATCTAGATTAGTAAAGTGAGAAAGTCTTGAATTATCCGCATGGATTAATGGACAATTTCAGGCGTCTTTACATTGAACTGCGGTGCATAGGGCTAAGTGAGGGTATTATTGCGGTTGCTCTAGTTATTGTGGAACTCTTCAATAATGCCTATATTTTAATTGAATTGATGAGTTATGATAGACAGCCACTTTAAATTATTAAACTAAATTATAGTGTATCTAATTAATAAGATTTGTATCGCAAAACAGCGTTCAAAACTTTACATTTGCATAACAAAGTATCACGTCTGCAATAACTAGTGCACACAAACTTTTCCACTATGATGGTGTTGTTGTGGATAATCCGTTGATTTTGTATTGAAATTGACCGCAATAATACGTGCAGAATAATGAATATACAGTACTGGCAAGTGAAGTTTTCAAACATATTTTTCAATCAATTTTCATGAGCTTATACATTTATACAGGTGGAATAAAGTCGTTTTTGAGTCCAGTATAGATAAAAATAAAAAATAAAAAAATTACAACGATTTTACGAACTAAATTTCTTCGATAAAAGTTTAAAGCAAACCACTCAAAAAACTGCAATAATATCCTCATTTACCCCTATATCTTGTTACGTATTAGTGCCGCCAGTAAACGGCTGCTTCAGTCTGCGCAGTAGACAGAAAGTAACTGCTTTCTGGCCACACGCACAAAACTTTTTTATAGAATCGATAGTATTTACAAATCCAGTTGCGCACGTAATCCGTCGATAATTATGATGGGTATAACAATAAAAAAAAATTTTTAACTCTTATGTCAGACGTCAAACAGCTCTAATGTACTCTTAATTTTTAGCGTATATTATTAGTGTCTACACGTATTCAAGCCGCCAAAAATTTACAACCCCAAGAAAAGATTATATAATTTGAATGTCAGTTATGTTATCGATGTTGAGTTTCAGGAGCGTGTATAATCTTTTTTACCCAAACTTTATGTTTAGGGATACTTCAATCGCAGAACTTGGAGAGGGAAAGGGTTTAAATTAATTTATCAATCAGTATACTCAAACATGATGATAGTTAATGCAACTGAACGAACTATATAGTGTTTTAATTGAGTAGATTATATTAAAAGATATTTAGTGTGATAGTAACAATGATGATAATGATTATAACAGCCTTATGACTATATCATGATAATAATGATGGAAATGATAAATAGTTAAAGAGAGAGAAAAACAAGTGTTATCTAACTAATTAAGCACAAGCAAATGCGTACATTTATGCTTGAACTTTTTCCTCTTTTGATGGTCGTGGGAAGACAAAATCATGACGAGCTTTTCCAAAGCTCTGTTGAAAATAAAATTTTCGGCCACAAATTCTGCTATCCAAGTCGTTGAAAGTGATTGCAAAACTTCAATTATACTTTGATTTTTT